TGTGTTAACATATGTAGGCTATGAGCTAATTCGTTTATGATGCATATATAAATACATAGATATACCTGACTATTTACCACCACAGGAAATAGTTGTATCAGCTGTTAAATGGGTCTGGATGGAGTGTTTTTAAAGGTGGTATTTAAGTCCTTGTGCCCAAGCTGTGTTATATTTAGGTGTCATACAACAGTTGTTCTTACAATAAGTCAGTGTTATTTCTTACAATATGTCTATTTCTTACAGCACCCACTTTAGTCAACTTTGTGGAAAGGTTGGTGACATCAGCTCCTACACCATGTACACCTGCAACGGCCACCACCATCGCCACATCCTCCAAACAGTCGATAATCACAGGCGTTCCCAGAGAGGACACATTAAAAACTGAGGTCCTGTGGTGTTTGAACATGATGGAGTCTCACTACTCTTTCAATTCCAGTGAAGGGACAGGTAAATGAAATGATTTGAACTTTCACCTATGACATCATTTTGAGATTCCAAGGTTAAGTGCAGCAAAGTACCAAATGCCAAAGTTTGATTTAATGCAGTCACAGATTTGTATGCAAAGATTTGTATTTGTATGATTTTATGTGCTTCAAAATGATTTCACAGTCAGAGTAGGTGCTGAAATCTGACTTTGTGGTGGCTGTACTTTGAAAACACGCATAGTCACATCCACACAAATAAAAATGTGTTTGATTTCAATCTCTTTCTTTTTTCCATGTACATTTGCATGCATGGTTTGGCTCCTCATTTCAAACACTTGTTGTGCAAAAAACTCTCTTCTGATAGGGAGGACTATGTACTTCTCTTTGATGAGAGCCTTAACAGAAAAACACAATCAAAGCAATATGACTTTCATGTCCGTTTATTGGATGGGGACAAAGTTGTGACAAGATTTTATGACTCAAAATTCATGGGACACGCCACTGCATTAGACCTTAAATCAGTCTATGAGAGTAGTACTGAAAATCTGCCAAAAGAAAACATGGTTCAGATCTTCATGGATGGACCAAATGTGAAATGGTCTTTTTATTCAAAGGTTGACAAATCCCTCCAAGATACTCATAATGTACACCTTATCAATATTGGCAGCTGCGGTCTCCATATTGCACACGGAGCCTTTCAGAAAGGAGTGGAAGGGACAGACTGGAAAGTTGGCAGCATATTGCAATCCATGCACCACCTTCTGAGGGATTCTCCAGCTCGTAGAGAAGATTATTTCAACATAGCAGGATCAGGTTCCCCAACATCACTAAAGTTTTGCAGGACAAGATGGCTGGAAATTGTGCCTGTACTAGAAAGGGCTTTGGAAGTTTTACCACACATGGCTGCATATGTCAATGCTGTAAAGGAAAAGAGGTGTCCAAATCCAGGCACAGAGTCCTTTGAGGTGGTTCAGGAGGCTGTTGAAGATCCACTTATGGCCGCTAAACTTAATTTCATCTTGTCAGTGAGCAAGGAAGTGACTCCATTTCTTGCACGCTACCAGACTGATAAGCCCATGGTGCCATTTGTTTCAACAGACCTGTTCAAGCTGCTAAAGAGCCTGATGTGCAGATTCATCATGAAGGAAGCAACAACTTCTGGACGTTGAGGTGGGAGATCAAGCTTGTCACGTTGACTCCTCACAGGTGGACTTGGGTTTTGTTACAGGAAGAGTTTTGAGGGACTTGTCCACATTGAAGACAATAGGACAGAAAACACTCCTGCTCTTCAAACACACTTGCAAGAAGGGCTTGGTTTTAACTGTACAGAAGTCCCCCCTATCCTCTTGTCTCTCACCTTTCATTCCTTGATCCAAGGGAAATGGCCTGCAAAGATGCAGGTGTCGGAATAACTAAGTTCAGGAAGGTTTTGACATACCTTGTGCATGTCCACCGTGTAAATGAAGAAGACTGTGACGAGTTAATTCGACTCTGCGGTCAATTCATGTCACGGTGTGGGGATTGAACCCGGGTCTCTGGAGTGATAGTCCAACACCGATCCACTATTGGAGAATACAGACTCAAGTACAGAGCAAAACAGGTAGTGTCCATAAGATTTATTAAAAGGTTCTAAAGGCCAACACAAAAAGCACCAAAAATAAGTCCAAGCATGAAGGTAAACAAATCCAAAGCGAAAATCCAAAAATCATAACACAGAGGCAGGCAGAGGTTCAGGAGATCAGGCAAACAATCCAAACAGCAAATCCAAAAATCGTTAACACAGAGGCAGGCAGAGGTTCAGGAGATCAGGCAAATAAATCCAAAGGGAAAATCCAAAAATCATTAACAGAGAGGCAGGCAGAAAATTCAGGAGACCAGGTAATCCAAACAGTAACAAAAGGCACAGAGTTTGCAACACAAAGGAAGACAAAGACTTAGCAAAGACATGGACTTGAGACAGGGTTTAAATACACAAGCTAATAGATCACATGACAGGGAGACAATGAGGTACAGGTGAGCAAGGTAATTACAAGTCAACAACATAGAGAGTCATTTGGCGACCTCTGGTTGTCAAAACTGTTCATTAGTGACAGGACCCCCCCCCCCCAAGTACGTCTCCTGACGTTCCTAGGGGCAGTAGGATGATGAAGATGAAAGTCCCTTATAAGGCTCTTGTCTAGGATGTCCCGGGCTGGAACCCAGGAGCGTTCCTCAGGGCCATATCCCTCCCAGTCCACCAGATACTGGATCCCACCTCGAACCTGGCGAGAGTTCATCAGTCGGTGGACTGTAAAGGCCGGTTGACCATCA